TGTATATAGCTTATAGTGTATTTGTTGTTGTGTTTGTTTGTTGCTTAGCTGTTTGCATTTATAGAAGGTTGCGCGTGCAGACCATAGGGCCGAATCTTTATACCTGACAAATCACTTTATCATATAATTATCTATAAAATACCTATATTTCTCTATTTCGTAAAGTTGTTATTTTCACTAGTGAAAACATTCGAGGTTTCTAGTAAGAAGTAAGAAAAAGGTATTTTACAACATAGTTTGCTTTCATATGTAATTATATGATAAACAGAAAATTACATGGTTGCTTAGAGATACGAATTTTGTCTTTTCGTGTTGAAAACATCTCACTCGTTCGCTACGCCAATTCGTGACTTTTCAACACTCGAATATAAAATTCGTATCTCCGCGCGCCCATGTAATATCCTCTATATCTTTCGTGTTTTAAACCTATACGTAGACCTAAGGATACATAGGTCTTCAAAGGCGTCTCATAGCTGTTTGAAAGAAGTTATTACCACTTTCATTACATCCTTCTAAWAATATCATACAAAGACACCGAGGGGTATGTACAGCATTTATTGTTGCATACTGGGACGCAGACTTTACTTAACTCATTTGGGTATAGAAACAGCTGTGAAATCGGAACTAATCAAAGCTAAAAGTGAGACATATTGTGAGCTGTACCATGAAGACAGTGGACTCTCGMCTTGATAAGAAACGGGACAACTGAACACACTAAACCCGTGAAACAGAATGTAATATACTCGAGGTGTAATRTAGTGAAGTGGAGATTACTAAGGTGTATTAGTCTAAAGTTGTTTCCATAAATCCGTGAAATAAAGTTTAATAAAGTTTAATAAAGTGCAATGTTTATAGAGTCATTTAGCCCGTGAAACAATATTTGATTATTAAAGTGTGCCAGTCAAATAGACACAAAAGAAACCAATGCAATCAGAGCGTACTAAGGTGTATTTGTGTAATATCTATTTCACGGGTTTTCTGAGTTAATTCTAAACCGTGAAACATAAAGAACAACGTTTGAAATAAAGAGTATTTTAAGTTTATAGTAGATGGGTTTATGAAAGAAACTTTAATAAAGGTTTAATAAAGAAATCAAGGAAGTCTAGAATAATATTTAATAAAGAAATCAAGGAAGTCTAGAATAATATTCTAGAATGAAGTTAAACACATCAAACTCAATTAGTTCCGAGACCAGCTGTAAAAGCTTAACAAATCTTAAGAAGAATTCTTAGGTTCATACCGTGACTATTGGGGAGTTATTGTTACTAAGAGACAATAACTAGCGCCTAGTCTGCTGTGAGCTAAGTCGGCATTTCTAACGAACAGCTGTAATAAAAATATAAATTATAAATAGCAAAAAAAGAGATAAAAAATAGGGAAAACTTCCAGCCGCTTCGGACACTGATCTTTTGTTAGTTTTCTAGAATATTCTCTCTTTCTTAGGCTGGCTKCATAACTGATCATTTTATGAATACTGC